GCCCTGAATGTTGGATCGATTTCCCTTTATCTCTACAACACCAAGGTGTGATTTCTTCCCCCTTTTTTGGCAATTTCATGATAGGGTATGATCGTTATGAATTGGTTTATTGAAACCTAACAAGATAATTGGGTATCCAAAATGTATGGAGTTCTTTTTTGGGTGTGCCTCCTTTTTCTTTTAAGTACTAATTAATGAATGTCGAAACTTGTTGGATTATATTTGTATGTTTGTATTGTGAGCCTAAGTTAAATTAAGAAAGCAAAATGTTTGCTTTAAGATGTCAAAAAATAAAAGATTAAAGATTAGACTAATCTTATGGGATTCATCATTCATGTTAATACTATGGAAAATCAAATGTAATTCCAGCAAAATAAACGTGACATGACAAGACATAATTTGTACAACTACAACTCATATTTAAACAATTAGATCAAAACTTTATGTTAGTTTTGTCACAACATTTTAGAAGTAAACAGAAATCATTATAATTTTATAAAATTTCAATTACTTGGTTATGCCATCATTTCTTTTTTCATGGATTTTAAATCTTTCACCTTTTCTTATTACACAGATTTTGATCTATCCGACATTCAGAAAGAACACACATCTGTCGTACAACAATTAGTACCAAGTTTGACCACTTTGAGGCATAAAATTCACAATCACATGAGTGAACAACACTTTTGGATGATTTATTTCATTCTGTTGCTTCCAAGATTGAAAGAGGATGATTATATGCTTCTATCAACCCCAGATGTAAGATCATATAACTTCATATTAATTATTACAACAATGACACAAAAACATAAATCAAATGTTGTTTGCCATATAGATTGTGAAAATACGCGAGGTGCTTCTGCTGAAACTGAGAAACAAGAATAATACATCCATGGAGTTACCAGAGGATACCAAAGGAAATACAAGTTTATCTGAAAAGGGTAGTGAGGTGAATAGCACTGAAGAAGCCAACAAGACTACTAAGAGTGAACACCATGAGGATGATGTTTCTTTCAGTGATGTAGAGGATGAAGATAATGATCTTTCTGGTAGATTATGTGGTATTAGACAAAGAGAAAGTAGCAGGGTTTCTTCAGCTAGTGAAACAAGTGATTGGGTTCGTCTTAATGAAAGAAAAACAAATCAGTCAAGGCATTATTCAGAAAGTGAAGAGTCAAGTGATTGGCAAGCTGTAGGGGATGTTGATCTTTTATCCTAGTATTAAATCTTACCTAATTGTTTCTTTCCATTTTGGGGAATTACATGTTTTTCTAAAGGGGTGTCTACATTGTAAATGTTGATCGGTTTTTATGGAATCTGATAATTAAATTCCGTAGGTTAATTCATGTATTTGTTTGTAAATAAAACGTTGTTGTTGCTAACAAGGTCACATGTTTTACTCAAGAGTGTGCGTGTGTGAACGTTTATAACATGTAGCAGAATTGTTTGTGTCTTATAATCTCAAACCGAATGGAAGGAAAATGGAAAATCTTGATATATAATTTATGTTGGGTTTTGGATTTTATCAACTACTGTACCATATTTTAACCACAAGGAATTTAAAGTAACAATGTGCACTCCTTTTGATGTTCTATTGGTTCGTGGGCATATCGTGATTAACCATTATTTGGGCACTCGTTATCTAGTGCGTTATTGTGCAAACATACATAATAAGATTAAAATTGCAAAACAAATAGTTGTACTTATTACATTGTTACGTGATTATTTGGGACATGTATGTTGATATTTCGCTTCTTACATTATTGATGATTGTAGCTTAATTTTTTTCGTCAAATGTAAGGAGCCAAATATTAACATACATATATCGGATAATCATGTAATAGTGTAAAAGGTTGTTGTAAATTTTTTTTATTGTTGTGTGTGTTTGTGCATTATTGCATTAGATAGTGGGTGGTAATGTAGTGTTTCACATGTAGTGAGTAATCAGGATTCTTTTCATCATCGTGCTTTTTCATGTTGTATAAAGAAGGATCATTTAGCCTTAAGTTGAGGTGAACTACTGTGAATTCAAGTGATCAATTTACTTATCTCTCCATTAATTTTATCCAATTGAGATTTCGAGAGTATCATCAAAAACTTCAACTTGATAATACAATCACAAAGTATTATACATGTTTATTTTAACAAACTTAATTTGTGGAGCAAAATGTTTTTCTTTACTGTCTAATTGACATAATATCAAATAAAAGTTGGCAAGAAAAATATCTAAACATAAAAAGCTTTAAATAATAGAGTATCTTGTTGTATTCCTAAATTTGATAGTTGTTTTTTGTCAATCGATATTTGTTGATCATTAGGCTGAAAGGAGAAGGGTTCTATCTATAAATTCGTGAAACATGAGCTCTTTTGCCCGTAACCCCGCAAATTGGAGATGCTAGAGAGCAGACAACTCACTTTTTATTTTTCTATCTTCCGATGTTGAATGTTGTTAAAATAGTGGTTGTGTATCTAGTACCTTTTTTATGTGTGATGTACTAAAAAAAACTTCAATAATAGCTTAGAAAAAACTCTCTATAATGTTCAAAATCCATATATATCATTGCATGGATCAATGATATTTATTTATATAAAGTGGAAAGTTATACGGTGGGAAATTATTACTTTATTATTTTGTGGAAAACATCACGTGATTGTCAAATTGAGTTATATGTCCTATACATACACACAAGTCATGATATTTCGTTCTCTACATCATAAAAGCTCAATTATATAAATATGTAGCTAAATAATTTTCTGAACAAGGCCATTTTATGATTCAGACTAGCTAGTTATTTCATGTTCTATTCTGTTTAGATAAAAACCAAATTTAGTTAGAATCTTTTTTTTTTTTTTTAACTTAAGAAAATTTCACGTCTTTATTTTTTTTAAGACATGGATGATGTGGTTGGTTGGTATTGTGGGTAAAAATAACTATGTTGTTAAAAACAATCAAACACAGTTAGTTGCTATTTAACGCCATTTTTTGAAGAAAAAACCAAGAAAAGATTTAACATGTGTTTCCAGGTATTCAAAAAGATGAACATAGACTACAACATGAAACCCATGCAAAACACCTTCTACCTATTTCATTAAAAAAAAAAAAAAAAAAAAAAAAAAACCAACAACTTATGTACAAACTTCCTACCAACCCTGTTATTACAGATCCTTCTTCATTTCAATGCTGTGGAGGTCTTCTGTTAAACAACAGATTACCATTCGACAAACCCGGCCTATGCCACATACCTTGATTAGAATTGAACCTGACTGGTGGCGGCAGCGGCAGTGGTGGCGGTGGTGGAAGTGGAGCTGCCATGAAAGTCGGCGGTGGAGAAGTAATGGAAGGTCGAAACGGTTGATAAGAGAATGACGGACGGGTGTCAAGCCGTGGCGGTGGCGGTGGCAGGATAGGAACGGGTGGCGGCGGTCGTGGAGGGCATAATGGCAAATTCTGGAAGTTGGATGGCGGCATGGGTGGTGGGCACCATTCAGGCATGTCATCATCGTTATCATCAAAAAGTTTAGTCTTTTTCGCCAACTGCTCTACAGAATTATCCATGTTTTGACAGTTGACCACCACCGCCAATCTGGCACCAAAGTCAAACTCAGGAAGATCATCCACGTCATCCTGAAACGCCCTTTTCTGAACCACCAAATTACAAGTATCAGGAGTAGTAGAATTATGGTCAACATCAGTAGCAGTTTCAGTGTTGGAAGTCAGAGGAGGTTCTCCATGTAAAGTAGGTGGGGAATTTGGAGGTTGGATTGAAGGATTTGAATCAGGGGTATTTTTGGTATTTAGAGGACGGTTTTTACGCCATACAACACAACCAATCATGGAATCATGTTGCTTGTCATCAAGAACCGACATGCCTTTGAAGAAACCGTATTTGGCTAAAATTGTGATGATGGGGTCGCTGCGTGGGCATATGTAAAGATCTATTCCTGATAAAAGTTGTGCAAATCCAACCCTTGAACTTTTCTTGTATCCTTTCGCTACCTAAAAAAACATAATAATAAGTGATTGAATATGGTTATTTTGAGAGAAATTTGTGGTCTGTATATATGAAAGTGAAACTTACCTCTTTCATGCCTGTTAGCCCAGTGTTGGAAGATCCTTCCTTCCAGCATACCGAGATAACCTACAGATCATTATATCAAAACTTTAAGAGAGAAGTAATACTAATACATTATGGAATATTGTTTCACTCACATATATGTGGTGTTGTAATGATCATAAGTGTAGGAAAAGATGACATGTTACCATTAATCCACGGTTGCGTGAGCGAGGAAGATCTTTAACATATTTCTCAAAAGCCTCTAATCTTACTTTTCCTTTCACTTGTATGGATTCAGGCCAATTATTACAAACCAATTTCTCACCACTACATAATACAAACAAACAATCACAGGATCAAGATCAAACCCTAACACTTAAGAATATCCTCACAAACTTGATATGCAATCATTTGATGTTAGATTCAAGAAAAAAGTTAAATTTGAAGTAATATTTGTAGTTTGCACATGATAGGTTAAAGGTGAAACATGAAAAGACCTTCTAAAGAAGGCAGCTGCGGATAAAGTGACAGAAGAACTTAGTTGAAGAGATCCCTCCCACAGCTTCTTTGAATCATTTTTCTTGCCATACCCAACTACTTTCTCTTCATCATCATTATTTATGCTTAGTGTTTCGTTTTGCTCTGATATCCCTACTACACTTGTAGCATTATTATTATTATTATTATTATTATTATTATTATTAAGTCCTCCAACTTTTGAATAAGAATCACTCTGTTGCAAGATCTCAACAAGTCTCAAATATTCAGGAGTTCCCATCTCAAGAGGCGTTTTCAAGGGTCCATAATTGGTAGATAGAAACTTTATCAGTTCTTGCATATTAGAAGTAGAACCAACTATAGATTTTTCTGCATTTGTTCTAGAAGCTTCCATGGGGGGCAAAGATTTATGAGCTTCACTTTGGCTAAAACCATTATCTACTACTGGTCGAGTTTCTGATACATTGTGATTCTGGTGATGCTTGAAGCTCACTGCTTCTATTCTAGAAGATGGTTGATTATCAGAAAATCCTTCAAGAGATTGAAGCATCATATTCATATTGCCCACATGAGTACCATGTTTCTCTTCCCAATTATCTTTCAACATAACCCTAAGATAATTGATTTCTAATTTCACCCACAAACTGAAATAAAGAATGAAACTTGATCAATTCAAGAAATATAAATAGACGTAGAAAACAAGGTTTTATGTGCAACGTGGCTTAAAGCAGGATGAATATTTTATTGTATACATATCATATAAGATAACCAGTTCCCCTCAAACTAGGTGATTACATATTAGGTGAATTTTGATTTTCAATGAATTTATGTCTTAGGCTCTGTTTCTCCTTTTTTTCTGAATGTTTTCTATGCATAAGCGGTTGGAAAAATATTTGAGAATATGATCCCTGACTTTCTTTCTCTATTAACTCAATAGTGCATTTAGTTAGGCAGAAGTGTCCAGCTTTTCATATGTGATATATCATTTAAAAAGGTCCACATTTTTTAATCATGTTTTATTAATTTTATTAAATAGTAACCAAAATTTCACAATTGTTCCATTTAGGTAACTCAAACTCTTTTAACTTACATTTTGCAACGTTTTTCATATGGGAATTACTCAATTGGATGGAAATTCACAGTAAAGGTCCACAAATGACCAATAGGTCAGTTGATTCGTGTAGATGCCAAAATGCACATTTAGTCTTTATTTTCAAAAATTAACTCGATCCGTCCGTGGTTTGTTTAAAACCTACAAGCTTCGGTTTTATTGCGAATTTAGTTCGTTCCAGATCTGAAATGACCACCACCACCCCTTATTCATCAGTCCATTTTTAATTTATTTTCCAATTCTTTTTGATTTATTTATTGTTATTAATTATATTTAGAAAAAAAAATGTTCATCCCCTTATTCATTAGTCTCTTGTTATGAACATCCAACCTCACCCTCACAAAAAAAAATCACAAACACCACGATTGCTTTTCAACCGCCGGCGGACCACCATCGTCGGAGAACTGCCCGCCATCACAGCCTCTCTCTCCTCCTCATTTTCCGATCGGATACCCCTTCTTCTCGAATCACCATCTTGTAATCTCCTCCACAAGCCAGGGTTTCGAATCGCCACCTAAGGTTTCACCAACACCATCAGCTAGGGTTTCGAGATTAATAATCTCCTTGTTCACATATGCATCATCACTTGTACAGCGCCATCGGAGATGGAGACGAATGACGAAGAGTCTTGTCGTCACCTAGGGTTTCAGATTCATATACAAGGAAATGTGTGGCTTTAGATCGAGAACTTTGGGGGTTTCATGTCGGTTTTCACTTTGGGGGTTTACGATCGAGCATCACCATCATCATCACCACCACCGGTAATCTCTTCTTTTGTCATGTATGGTCACCAAAGTTGGAATTTGACTGGTCATTTCAGGAGGTTGTACACTGTTTTTGCGAGAGATTGGTTTTGAGTCAAGTTAAGAGGTGGAGAATCGGAGGTGATGAGATAAGTTTGGAAACAAAATGAAGCGGAGGTGGAAAAGTTGACGGTGATTTGCCCGAGGATTTTGATCAGAGATGTGAGGCTTTCTATTGATTATTAAGGGGAAAGGACACTCGGAAATGGAATGGGGAAGGTGGGTAGCTAGATATATTTTCCTTTTACTTTTTTTTTTTTATAATTTAAAAATGATAAAAAAAATTAAAAAAATAAAAAAAATAAACGGTCCGAATTAATTTTTAAAAATATGAACTACACATATGTTTTAGCACATTCACGAGAAATGAATTGTGTAAACCCCTTAATAAATGGTTCATCATTTGCAAAACAACATTAAAACAAAGAGAAATTAAATATCTTCCCATATCTTTCTATTATTTTTAGATGATGACAAATATAATACAAAATTTATTAATTTATTAAATGTGACACTATTTGATTGATTGAAATCCAAATCCGTTGCCACATCTTCTGTCCATGTCACCACTCCAACAGGTAACAAGTCAAACTTGGTTACTATTGAAAGACATTTCCACTCCAATAATTTGAACCTTTTTCATAAGATGAGTTTTCCTTAGACCTTACTGCTTGAGCTTGAATCCACAGACACAAACTGATTGATTAAACTTTTAAAATTAGTACATTTTTAGTATTTTGGGTTTTTTCCTTGATCGAAGTTGACTAGGAGATGTAAAGTCCTTTTCAGCTAAATGACTTATTTTAGGTTCCTCTATCCTTGAAAAATTACACCCCCTAACATTCTCCCTTCTGTTATTTTTCATTGGTAATTTAAAATCTTTTAAGAGTAAATTGCAAAATTTGTATCCCAAAATGTCATTTTAATCCATTTTTTTCATTCACAATGATCAGTCTAAAATTGAAATTTTAATATAGATTTGGTCCTTCGAGTTGACTGGCATCTTAAAAAATAGAAATCAAACTGCACTTTTTGGGATATGATAGGTACCAAATCTACAAGAAATTTTTAATTTTGGAACTGACCATGCAAATGTAAAAAAAAAAAAAAAAAAAAAAAAAAAAAAAAAAAAAAAAGAAGACTCAAACTGAACTTTTTATAATAACATGGGGACAAATTTTGAAATTTACTCGTTTTTTAAAAACAAAGAATCATACCAAACAGCTAATTGAGGTGATAATTACTCATTTTCCTTCCATTGTATTCTTTGGCTTTTGCTTTATGACAAGTTGTTAATGAAATTTTCATATTTTATGCAATGGATCCGTTTGTTTCACTAAGCATATTGATGAGATTGACTCAATTTTCATTTTTATGAAATGGTTAGCAATAAATCTGGTGATCTGATTCAAAACCATGTACATCATATGGTTAGAATTTAGTTGGCATCTATTTCCATGTAATTGTTGCTCTTCTTTATGAACCCATATTAAATGCAGTACATGTAGATCAGAAATCAGATCAACCCAACGTTGAGCTATGAACTTGGAGTGATTAACCATGTTAAAAATGTTTATTTGCCACATCAGTATCAATCTACTAGAATTTTTTTTTTTTCACTTATGTGCTTGTGACAGATTGCTTTTCTTCCTTCTTTCCCATCTTGCAAATGCTTTCTGTTGATTGTGTGATGTCACATTTCATTATTTTATTCATTTTAATTGTGCAAATGACTTGCTTTCTATGAATCAGATGCTTAAAACTTATGCCAATTGGATGCAAACTGTAGATACACCTACATAATATCGATAAACATCTAGGGCATCTATCACCTACCACTACCTATGCAGATGTATAGTCATAAATAAGGACTTTTTAAATGTCAAAATTTAATTGTTGGAATTTTTGTAAATAAGATGGTTTATGCTGAATATACTTCCAAGTCCAAGTTTGTAGCAGCTTATTGTAGCAATGTACTTTGCCACACTTACTAGCTTCTATGTCCGGAAATGCTGATGTGGCATGTTATTATTGGGTCTGATGCCCCATGATTGTCATGTTGGCAATACCATTTAGTTTTAAATTTTAATTGATTGTTATAATTATATCTTTTTTAATCTTTTTACTTTCTTATGCAGACCAACTCCGCCCACAACACCATTTTTCCAGCCTGAAATCCAAAACTCGCAAAAACAAAAATAACAAGGGTATATTTGGAAAACTTGTGTAGAAAGACCCATTAGCTTATCTCAGTTACCTTGTTTTAAGCTAGCTTATAAGTTACTTTAGTGGTCCCACCAAACACTACACTGCAATAAGCTCAAAATTAAGCCAGCTTATTCTTTATATGTTTCAAGATACATATTACCTATATTTGTAAAAATTATTATGGGTAAAAGAGGGCAAAGTACATTGCTATTTGCTGTAATTTGTCCTATGTGAGAAGGTAGAGTGAGTGATGGAAGCATAAACCTAGAGAAAAGAAATATATTTCTACAAAGTTTTATAAACGTTTCTATTTAGTTTATCACCTTATTTTTTGGGCTTATGAATAAAATAGTGTTTGAGTTAGCTTATAAGCTTAAGCTTATGAGCTTATTTTATCTAAAATAAGCCAAACATCATAAGCCATATGAAAAGTGAAAACTTTTTTTCCATACGATTGGCTTATTGTATATATTTACCTACCTATTTACCCTCAACCTTAAATAATTCTTCTTTCCCAACATTAAATAATTCTCATTTTTAGCTATTTTACAAAAATAAGCTAATAATCCACACACTATTTTGAAAAGAGCTTATTAGCTAATAAGTCATAAGCTAATCCAAACACTTTTTTTTTATCTTATAAGCTAATATCACACAAACACCCCCTAAATACTTAGAAAATAGATGTTAATAAGAGAAGCCAATTTTTCTAAATAATTTCACTTTTGAAAAGAATTAATTGAAAGGCATACCAATTTTTCCAGAGCTTCTGTCAGTCATCAGGTTGAATTAGTTCTTCTGTTATAATCCCTCTCTTGATTTGTTGTTACAAAAGGTTAAGATTTTGAAAGTTTGCTTCTCTGTTTTTTTCCTCACAAAATGTCACTAGTGGTAAGATATTTACTCTAGTTTTATGACAATGAGGTGTGTATAGCTTAACTCCACCATAAAGAACCTACAGATATATATATATATAGAGAGAGAAAAAAGTAATCAATAAAAAATTAATTACACAAAATAATAAATCAACATTGTCATTCAGTGATTCATGATTCTAAGGTCGATGTAAGAAGATGTTAATGATCAAAAACTTCTAAAATGATATTATGATCAAATAGATTGTTAAGAATCATGTGTTTGAATTTATGAAAATTTGGTCACATTTATGATTATGTGGAATTGGTGTTGGATGTAGTGTTGTTGATGATGGAAATGTTATTATCTATACATTACTATGTATGAAAGAAAGAGAAATTAAGAATCACCATCATTATGTGAAGTTTATGTGAAAATGATGTTGTTTCGATGGAATTAGATATATACATAACACTGGTATGGATTTTTATGGTAATAGCAATTAGTCAAGTAAATGAACATATTGTTGAAAGCCTATAGATTGAACATGTTTATATATGTTGTAACATTAAAGCATCAAGTAATGTTCATGTTATGCCAAAAAGGCTAATGTGAAGGACAAACATGCACAAGGTTTCTATGATAATATAAATGGCATGTAACTTAAAGATTGAGTATAAATGACATATGTATGTAAACACATGTTATGCAGTATGCAAGTTTTTTAGCATATGTAATAGAACATGTATGTGTATACAGGATATGCCTACATATTATATACATGTATGTGTCACATGATATGCCTACATATCTATGTAAAGCAAGGTCAGATAGGATGTTATGTTAAGTATGAAATAGGTCATTATGATGACTAGATATGTTGGGATATACAATCTGGCATAATATGTATGTATGAGTATGACTATACATAAGATGTCATGTAAAGGATTAAGATGTAAATGTAAGTTAGAAACTTGGTTTTAAAAAGCATGATGCATTTTTAACCATATGCCTAACCTTTTATGAAAGACTTGAAACACATACACAAAGTGTACTAAGTCTTTATCGTATTTTTCTAAAATGCATAGACACATATACATACATAATAAATGTTTCTTGAGCCTTCCAGCCTCAAGTCAAACCAAGCAAAAAAAAGAACACCAAAATTTTACTCCATTTCTGATTCTTCAACCAGGTATAAGCCTCTTTATCCATCAGACTTTCATTAGAATCTTAAATTCGCTATAATTAGGGCTTTAATCTAGGAGTCAATTTCCACAGTTCAAACCTCAAACCTCACTGACGACACTCTCTAACATCCAAACTAACAAAATTTCATTGAATTTAAACGAAAAAAAATAACATAAGCATTCTACCAATCAATAAACAGGTGCACACAACGATACATACAAATGTGCATCAATTAACACAAGTATAAAAAAAAATGCGAAGGGGTAAGAACCTAGAAGAGCATACAAAACATCCACAAACCCTAACTGATCGCTAAACAGTTCAAGTGTTTGCGACGTGTCAAAATACACTGCGAGAGTGATCATAAGTCCTACATATTGACCAATTATGCAGTGATTTGATGCTTAATAAAGATTACTAACCTTAAACTTGTGCCTCAAAACCCTTCGTGTTCGCAATTCCTATCGATCGGTTTTTGATATCTGCCAAGGTGCTCCAGAAAACCCCTAATTTAATAAGTATTTATGAGGTTCCAGTAGCGTATTGGGCCAAATTATTGAAGTGGCCTACAACAGGTCCATGTTGCAGATTTGCGGGCTGTGGCCATATTTCGATACTATGAAAAATAAAAATAAAAAATAAAAAAATTAAAAGCAAAATGATTTAAAATTACTTTTGTAATATTTGTAGTATATATATAGAGAGAGAAAAAAAAAATTAAGTTTAAATGTTTCTAACAATTATTGTGTTTCTGAATACACCAATCTAAATTTAGCAAATAATTAAATAATTTATTAATTAAATAAAGGTATAATAGTAATGTTAGCTAATTTTAATTATAGTGAATATTCAAAACATTTAATATCCCTTTAAACTAGGAAACCAGTTTTAAAACCCTACAAAATATTGATCTCTCATCACATTCATCATCATCGACCATATAATCCCTCTCATCATCTTGTCATCGGTTCTCATCGTCGTCCACCTTCTTCAACTAGTCGTCTTCTTTATTTTTTTACATAGAATCTGTTACACTCCCTTAAGCCATCGACCAAACCCAATCCTATAACTGATGTTAATTTTCATCCATGCCTTCATCAATTTAAGCGGACATCAGTTGCAACAAAGCACTTCATCGCAGTTATGCAAGCAATGTCTCTATCTTGTTTTTTAGTTTCTCGACTACAGGTAAGAGAGGAAGTAGGTATGTCAATTTCCAATAATTGAAGTACGGGCAAGTGGGTGAAGTCGATAACAAATCCAGTTTCAAAAAATCAAAATTGAAAGATGGAAAGGGTTAAGATGGAAAGTTAAGCACTTCACCACAACTACTCAATTCTTCCATTATTCGATGTCTCCTTCTATGATTCAGTAATCCATTTTGGGTTCAATTTTTTTTAGAGTGAATAATTAGCAGATTTGTATTTCAATCTTGTTTTCTCTATTTTTTCTTATTGTTTTTACTTTATTACCAGTTACCAAAATCTCATTGTCTTTGCATTGTCTATTTCTTCATTGGACATTTATCGGCCCTAATTTATTCATTTGTTCTTGATATTTGATTGTTCTAAATTTGTCTTTGACAAAAAAGGGTTAAGCTGGCATTCTGTCAGAATTTGCATGAAAACGGTTAAGTAAGGGATTTTTTCATATCAGAATGCAAACACATGTTCATTCTATGAGAATATAAATATTACATAAAACATGTTTTGCTAATAATTCTAACATGATACATTTATATATGCTTTAGAATGTTTATCATACATATAATAAACTAGTAGTTGCGTTAAATTACAAAGTGTTCTTGAAGCAATAACTTGGTAATTTGATTGTTCTAAATTTGTCTTTGCATTGTCTATTTCTTCATTGGACCTTTATCAGCCTTAATTTCTTCATTTGTTCTTGATATTTGATTGTTCTAAATTTGTCTTTGATGAAAAGGGTTAAGCTGGCATTTTGTTAGAATTTGCATGAAAAGGGTTAAGTTGGGGATTTTTTTCATATCAGAATGCAAACACTTATTCATTCTATGAGAATACAAATATTACATAAAACATGTGTTGCTAGTAATTCTGACAGAATACATTTATACATGCTTCAGAATGTTTGTACACATAGAAGAAAAGACTATGATTTAAGTGCATTATGTAATGTATTCTTGCCATAATTTATTTATATAAATGCATTATGTTAGAATGTCTTTGAGAATGTTTGTTAATAACAAGTATACTTGTTTAACTGGTAATACTAACGAGTAATATATCTTATTCTTTCAAAATTGCATGGAGAAGGAATTCAATATTGATCATATAAGAGGAATATTTGGAATCCAGTTCAACAACAAGTATATATGCGAAGAATTACATTCTTACGATAATATATTACATTTTCGTAAGAATAGTTTGAATCAAGTGGATTATATGGACTATTGAAGAACAAACGTGTTGTATTCTTTCATAACGTATAAAGCGTTTCTTAAGAATAATATTTTTTCAGAATTGATTAGTGTTTTTGTCAGATTTTAATATTTTTTTTTTCTTTTTTAACCATTCTTAGTTTTAATCTTTAAGAGTAATAATGCAATTCGTAAACAGTTATTAATCATATTTTTTTTCAAAATGAATGCAATAATTGTTTATAGTCTTATTCTTTATGAATTAATGTTATTCTTAATAATATGTTGTATAATTCTTTAAACATATTAAATATAAAAAAATATCTTGAATGAAACCATAGTCCACAAGAATAAAATCGAAAATATATTTCCTAGTTTATGGTTAACTTTGTCACTCTGACGGAATAAAACCGGTTATTATTAAAAATGATATTAGAATTAAATTTGAATTAAATTAAAAAGTTCAGATTTTTAAAAATAAGTGAATTAATTATCCCTTAAAATCCAAAATTTGTCTTTTTTAATATAGGTTAATTGACCAAAATACCCTTATGCTTAAATTTAAGTGTTACATGGTGCATGTTACCCTATTGTAATATAATACTCTTATATCATGAATTATGATTCTATTCCATTCGGTTGTCCAGATTTGTGTTTACGGGCACACAATAATTTGTGAAAACACAATAACCTAAGCCTTCCTCTCTCTCTCTCTCTCTCTCTATATATATATATATATATATATATATATATATATATATATATATATATATATATATATATATATATATAGTTCAGAAAATTTATAAAAAATCTCATTTTTTACTAAATTGTGATATTAGTTGTTTTTCTTTGGTTTAAATAATAGTAATTATTTTCTAGTTAGAATATTGCTCCTTGTAATCGACACCTAACTTACTTTAGTATTAAATATTCCAACTATATATAATGCCTAAGTGCTTTTTAACTAGTTAAGTTCTAATTAGAATACTGTTTCGAGCCAGTTTTCGCGCATCGACTAATCCCCGTTGCAAACATAAGGTTATGTCTCATTCTTTGAAGTCACTACAGACGTATCTTCATGGTCACAGGAGCTGAGTAGTGTCAAGATTTCATCATGAATCAATAGCTTATCCACTATATCTTATGCATAATTTACCAAGTCACCACAACTTAAACTGGTTGATGCAGTGACATTGTTTCCAACGAAACAAAGGTTTTGCTCGTCTCTTTCGGTTGATAAACGCATTCCTCTTAAGGATCTATCTTTGTTATATATATATATATATATATATATATATATATATATATATATATATATATATATATATATATATATATATATATATATATATATATATATATATAAGGGCGAGATCCGTTGAAAACTCTTAGTTTTCCGAGAACTTGAGAACTAAAGGTGGAACGTTGGATCAAAATTAACTCATTAAGGGCATGATTGTCATTTTAACAATCTTATTTAACTTTTATTATCGGAAATATTAATAAGAAGCTCTCAAACTAACATTATAAAACAAATTTTCGTAGTTTTTTTTTATAAGAAAATAATTTTTGTATTTTTAAAGTGCATAATTTTTTAGTTTTTTTAGAAAGCATATTTTTTTTAAAAAAAAAAAACTGCATATTTTTAAAAAACAGGAAAATTTAAAACTTAGTAAATTAAAAAAAAAAAGTTGGAACTAAAAAAAATAAATTTAATTTTTTTTAACTAAAAAATAAATGTTTTAGGAGCATATATGCATATTTTTCAAGTGCATTTATACATATTTCTTATACTATAATACTCGTAAATAAATCATAAAAAACCAATGTTTAGTTACTAATCTATAAACACAATAGTACAAGTATTTTATTCGATACAAAATAAAATATAAAAAACAAAAAATACTACAAAATTTCAAAGCGTTTTCATGTTTTCATATCAAGATTTCTATATTTTATTCAATTTATCACTTTTTACTTCTTCAAATTTTTCCCAACATTATTCCAAATCTACAAGAAAAACAATTGATTAATGCAAGAATATTCCAAAAAAAAAAAACATATGTACTAATCATGTAAGATTCGCATGTGATTATTTCATGTAAGATTCACATGTGATTTACATGTGATTCTGTAACATCCGAAAAATACAGACCAAAATTTCGTTTTTAAATCATTAATAAAACCAAAAATATCATCATCATATAAAAACATAAATAGTGTATCTCAAAATATCATAACAGCTGTCAAAAAATATCAGAGTATAAACATCTCAGACTAAACAAATGATGGGTGCACTGCAATCATCCCGAGCTCCTCTTTTGAAAACCGAAGTACCTGAAACCAAAACTGAAAACTGTAAGCACAAAGCTTAGTGAGTCTTCTCATACTACCACATACGATACACTGGGTCTTGCTCGTTACATCGGGCCCCGCCCAGCATCGGACCAAAATTTGGTATACATATAAACACATCAATAATGCAAATAACATAAACACATAACATAAACATAACTTGGGCCTAGCCCACTGCATTGGGCCCCGCCTGACATCCAATCACCTCGAGCATCGGGTCCCGCCTAGCATCCGACCGAAGTTCGGCATACATACAACATATCATATAACATAAACACATATCATATGCATATAAACATTTCCTCAGTCTTTCCCCGGCATCGGACCGTAGTCCGGAATACATACTACATAACATATAAGTTAAACATTCATCGGGATTGCCCCGACATCGGACCGAAGCCCGGAACACATAACACATAACATGCAAGAATCACAAAGACATCAAGCATATATAAACGCTTCTCGGGATCGCCCCGACATCGAACAGAAGTCCGGAACATACAAGCTACATTGGGCTATCCCCGACATCGGACCTAAGTTCGGCATATGCTAACAAACATACATAAACAGGCCAACATTGGTGCCTTCGACCCGTTCCTACTGGAGGAAAACTCAACTCACACTGCTGAAGTCCCGTTGACAAAACTCTAGCTGCTGGATGACAGATTCCCAAATCTGTCAACATCAAAATAACACCCAAATAATAATTGGGTTCCAACACAAAAATCATAAGTCCATTCTTGGGGTAAAAGACTGTTTTACCCCTATCTTAGCTTGATTCAACACAAGGCCCAATCCAAAGGCCCAAAAGTTAAACTATGAATCAAAGCCCAACATATGGCCCAATTTTCCAAATTGGGCCCAAACCTTTACATGATCTTATTCTAAGGACCAACCATTTAGTCCAGTCCAACATTTAGCATTTCTAAAGGCCCAATATCTTATAATCATAAATGCCCAAATTATGGCCCATCAATGGCCCAATTTTCCAAATTGGGCCTAACCCCTCCTATGGGCCTTACCCTAAAGCCCATCCAGTTATTATAGTCCATATGATTGTTCTTGAATGACCCATTATTGTCCTGATCACCAAAGCCCAATGGAAAGGCCCAACTTAAGGCCCAAGTAAAATTAGGGTTTTCACATAAAATAACGATTAGCGTTAAGTGTTTCCTACTTAACCCATTAAAGACTTAATCCATTAAGTACATCACTCTACTAGATAAATCATATGGTGTGATCGGGTGTAATTCACAATCCCATTCCAATGGCCCAACATGTGGGTCACGATAAGTCCAAACCAATAGTTCCAAAATTAGGGTTTTCTAAACCCTAATTACGGTTTCCATCCCAATCATAGCCCAATAGGCCCAAAACTAAGTCCTTAGGTCAATTGGAGCTTCCTTAGGCCCACTATGGTCTTATAAGGCCCATTAGGGTTTCATAAGTCGGGCACCACCCACTACCGCCTCGGGTAGTGGTGGTCAACGGCGGCTCAAGGCGGCTCACAGCGGCGGCCACCACCTCACGGTAGTGGTTATGGTTCTAGTCCCATTTGGCCAAGCATCACAAAAGTAAACTATCACACGCTAAAGCACACCACCACCCAAGACAACGGCTGGTGGTGGCAGGAGGCGGCAGCCACCACCTCACAGTGGTGGTTTTGAGTTTTCTTTTCATTACACTACCACTAATTACACTTTACAACACAGATCCAATACATACACACTCACTAACATAAACACACACACATACACATCCACCCTTGTGGTGGTCGGCGGTGGTAGGTGGTGGCAGTGGTTGTTCTCGGTTTTCCGGCCAAATGAAACCACATCCAACACACACTTTATTTGTTCACAAAACGACCCCATCCAACCATATGGTGGCGTACGGTGGCGATAGCATCACAAAACGGTGGCACTAGGACAAGAAGGCGGCAGCAGCGGCGGAACCCACAGAGCTGAAACGTATCACGGGTGAAGTGACGATGACCAGAAGGATGGAGACAATGGAACTTAGTAGAAAGCCACCGTAGGGAACGGTGACGATGCGTCTTCAGTCAAGAACAGCGGTGTCAGCGACGACTTGGCAGAAGGGGTGGAGGAAATGCATCCAAGGGTGGCAGCACACAACCCAACACCATCTTCAGCGGCCTTGGCCTCGTCAATAGTGCCTACGACGGTGGAGGATGTCGGTCTATGACCTCAACAGCGGGGTGGCAGCTCCGTCATCTACTTCCGACCTCCCTAACGGACGCAACACCCACAAAAAGCACCCACTGTCAGCTGAGGGGAAATACGACAGTGGTGGTGGCGCTCCGGTTGCGAAGTAGCATGTGGTGATAGAACTTATCTATGCAAGGGCGGCCGAAGGTGGTCAATGAGAGGGTGGCGGATGATAATTGCCACTAGGGTTAGGGTTTGAATCAAGGGGGGGGGGTATTGGGTTATATACCCCGATCCCCCGTAACTTACTGTTGTAATGATGCAAATGGCCCCTCCCTTCAAAAATATTTTCAAAACTAGACCATAATTTACCCTTTTAGCCCTCAGCATTAAAATCCATTACAATCTTGGTACACTATTTACTAATTACACCCCTGCTTCCATAATTTCTCTCAAATTCGATCCTTAATTTTCCAAACAGTCCCTTAGCCTCCAAAATCTCTTCAAATGAAGTCCCAAAAGTTACCATTTAGTCCCTACCTTCAATAATACTTACAAAACCAATCCGAAACTTACATTTTTAACCCCAACTTCTAAATTATGTCAGTTAACTCCACAAAATCATGTCTTTCTATATAATTATTGATTTTAGGGCTACTATTTATTCATTAATTTTATTATTATTTTTTTAATAAACGGGGTGTTACAACTCTCCCCCACTTAAATTGGATTTCGTCATTGAAATCATCCATTACTATTCTTTACACGTCAAACCATTCTAGTAACACGGTCACCATCCTGGACACACCCTAGCCTTCCCAGGGTAACCGTCACCAATCTTCGCAAGGCCCCTAAAATCCGCAGATGAAAGAATTCCTCGCAACTGGATAACATCTACTCCGTCTGAAATCTGTTGTCTCGAGATGGTCTGAATCCCTGATAAACCACTCATACTAAATCATTATTGTTGAATCCAATCCATTTATCCCCCGACTGACTACTCAACTTCTGATAACTAGAGGTTCCCAATATAAAATAGGATCACCGACCTAATTATCCCTACAGATCACTTATACTTGGCCTAGGCTCAGCTAATCCCACTGTGAGGGACTTGTCGCTCTAACCATACATGAAATCCTTAAATACCCCTTCAGCTTGAGACCCAAAACTGTTTGAAATACTAATCTGCCTGAAACACTAAACTGTTTGAAACAGTATGCAGCCACATGGCTGCTTCCCAAAAATCCATCGGAACCTCCTTGGTTCAAGCTTATTTGAAATGTTGGAGTCCTGCCCAGTTGTTGAGCCAAGAGCAATCTCACAGTCATCCCACGTGATTGCCGAACGAAATCCTTGTCTATCAATAGCTGCCACTAGTTACCTTGTTACTGCAGCTCTAATGATTTTCTGATCTAACTGGTCAGGTTCATAAGTTAGATCCTGACACTACCCAAACCCAATGCTAAAAGTGAATGATACATAACCAATAGCAGCCTTATATCACCAACGACCTTAAACGGTCCATTGCTTCCCTGATCTCTAACTGTGGTGGCGTTCCTACGGTCTTATCAATGTCTAAAACAAGTCTAATTCATCTAGGAAAATCTATAAAAGGTTTTGTGGATTTGTAATGCCCTTACTACTGCACCCAAACTGGTGGATACCATTGTTCCTTCCGTGTCCTAACAACACGCTCATTTTTTCTACTAGCCTAGGAATGCTACGTCTACACGCGCAGAATTACAATACTCTAGCACTATCTGCCAACATTGTGAATTCTACGGCTACACCCCGGAGACTTACAAAACTTCTAACACTATCTGGCTGCTAGTGAATGCTACGGCTACACCCCGAAGACTTACAACACCTTCTCACACTATTTGGATGCTTGTGAATGCTACGGCTACACTCACAGATTTACAACACTTTCTGACACTATCTAGTTGCTAGTGAATGCTACGGCCACACCCGTATACTTACGACACTCTAAGAGGGTGTTTGTTTTTTCTCTGCAGATTTGTGTGGTCTTTTCTGTCTGCGAGGCGCAGACCACGCGCATACATAAAGGTTTGCAGTGCATTTTTTTTCTTCTGAAGTGTGCAAACATAAAAATGTCTGCGCGAGGTCTTCACCATACAAATATGGGCCAACCTCTTCTGAAGTCCGTGAAGTGCTTTTGACCTAAAAAATGCATTTCTTTTGTTTGCGCCTCCATTCGTCCGACATTCCCACCTTCGTAGACAGAACCCTCAATAACTCTTTCTTCACTCCAGCAACCTTCGTCGACCATCACCTCCGATCAGCACCGTCCGTCACTGCCGCCCTCCTCTCCCATCGCAGTCGTCTAGGCGGCATCTCTGATTGCAGCTGACAGCGAACAAGTTTTTCGTCTGCATCTACCTCCTCTCTCCTTCATTTTCAATTTCAATTCAAATTATTGTTTGATCTGATGGAACTATTTGACCTGATGGAACTCTCATTTTCATTTTCAATTTCAATTTCAATTTTAATTCCCCGAAAATATTAAATTTTTTGGGTAGTCCTTCATATTTTCTTGGATTTGACTTGATGGAACTCTCAGTTTGACTTCTCTTTGTTTCTTACAATTACCCGACGCATCTTCTTGCATTTGACCAAGGATCTATAATTGTCCCTTAAAAGTTGTTAGATTGTTGTATATTCAAGCTTTTTTCTTGAATAAACTTTAAAAATGTGTGCTGGAAATTGTTGTTAAATGTTGTTGACTGTTTATGTTGCTGAAATCATATTCACAAAGTTGTTAGATTGTTGTATATTCAAGCTTTTTTACTTGAATAAACTTTGAAAATGTGTGTTGGAAATTGTTGCTAAATGTTGTTGACTGTTCATATTGCTAAAATCATATTCACAAAGCTGTTAGATTGTTGTATATTCAAGCTTTTTTCTTGATTAAACTTTGAAAATGTGTGTTGGAAATTGTTGTTAAATGTTGTTGAGTGTTTATGTTGCTGAAATCATATTCACAAAGCTGTTAGATTGTTGTATATGCAAGCTTTTTCTTGATTAAACTTTGAAAATGTGTGCTGGAAATTGTTGTTAAATGTTGTTGATTGTTTATGTTGTTGAAATCATATTCACAAAGCTGTTAGATTGTTGTATATTCACAAAGCTGTTAGACTATTTATTGTTATTTGGTTTTGAAATCATATTGTTAAACTGTTGTTAAATGTTGCTGAAAATTTTAGTGCTTCAAATTGTTGTTAATTGTTGCTGAAAATTGTTTCAAATTGTTCAAATTGCTTCAATTTGTTGTTAAATGTTGATGAAAATTGTTATTTGTTAAATGTGTTGAATGTGCTAAAAATTGTTGTTGAGTGCGTTGAAAATCGTTATTTTGTTTTAAAATTATGAAATAATGATGTGAATGTTTACTGGTTTTGGAAATATGAAATAATGATGTTAGTTGTTGATTGTTTATTATAAATGCTATATTGGTTATTAGAAATGGGAGATAAGCATCAATGGACCAATGAGCAATCAAAATGCTTAGTGGATACTTGTATTGAAGAAGTAGAGAGTGTTGGTAGAAAAGGATTGAGTTTCCAGAAAGATTCATGGATAAGGCTTGCAAGAGTTCTTAAGGAATAATTTGGCGTTAACTTAAGTAAAAAACAAATGAAAATGCATATGACAATTTGAAAGCCAAATACACAAGATGTGTATATTTAAAAAACAAAACTGGTAATATATACAATTCTCAAACAAACAATTTTAACTTAACAGTCGAGGAGTGGGATGATTTTAAGAAGGTACGATTCTTAAACAAACACTTTTAAACATTTACGTTTGAAGTCGCCAAATATTCTTATACTATTTTTTGTTACATTTGGGTTTAGGGGCATTCGAAGGCTGCTTCGTTAAAAACAATGCCACTGCCTTTTCAGATTTTTGTGCTTGTCTTTTAGATGGAAATAGTGCCACTGATAATTGTAGGAGTTACTCAACCCAATCATCTTCAGTAGATGGAGCATCCTCTTGTCGTCTTCCATCACTTCAGATTACGGCCACCACTTTTCTTGCATTAGATGATGATGGTGATGATGCTTCCCATCATGCTAGTGAGCCTTTTTGTGAGCCACTGCCTTCTGTTGCTTCACCTTCTGTCGCTTCACCATATACTGCTTCACCATCCGGTAACCCCAACAAAAGGGCTAAACCCTCAACTGTAGCACCTGGTTCCTGGTATGTAAATCTTATTTGAGTATTTTCCATTTTTAGCCTTGGACTCGGCGAGTCATAGGTTCGACTCGCCAAGTGGAACCGGGACCCGGGACACGTTTTAATTTGGCGACTCAGCGAGTCCATATCCTGGACTCGGTGAGTCACCGCTGTTGGATGAAACCCTAAGTTTCAGGGGTTTGCACCCTATTTAAACTCTCATTCCGCCCCAATCTCGCCCCCATTCACCCTTAGAGCTCTATACCTCGTTCAAGAGTTGTTTCTTTGTGAGTTGAAGCATTTGGTGTGCTCTCTTGAAGTTTTGGAGTGGGAAAAAGAGTAGATCAAGAAGAAGAAGAGGAGGTTAAGCACCTTTGAGCTATCTCAGTGTGTTCCCTAAGTTATGACTCGATTTTCCCCTTGTTTTCGTGCTTATTGTCCCTTATAGCTCCATTAAAGTCTTTCTTGAACCATTTCCAAGCTTGTGTATGTTTGAGGGTTCGTAATAAGCTGAGTAACCTCTAGATCTAGGCATGGTTGAGCTCCAGGAGCTCAGATTTACTGCCTTTATGGACCCATGTTGCATGAAGACCTTAGATCTACTCTTTTGGTGCATCTTGAACCCTAAAACCCTCATGGATGGATATTTACACGTAAAGTTGGGAACTTTACGTGTTATTCATGCTCTAGGAACCCATATCTATGAATGCCATGGACTGGATTCCAGAAAAATCGCGTTTATGGCTCTTGCATGAAGCAGACTCGGCGAGTCTAGTCGCGAGTCTCCGAGTTGTCCCCTTTTTCGTTGTGCCGCGTTGTGTAGTGAGTCGAGGGTGGACTCGGTGAGTTGGAAGCCAAAACTCACCCATAAGGGAACTCGGCGAGTCGATGCCCAGACTCGGCGAGTTCAAGGCAATCTTCTTAGAATCAAGAACAGACTCGGCGAGTTGTTCATACAACTCGGCGAGTCACAGTATAAATTGTTCATCAGATGAAGATGAACTCGACGAGTTGTTCATACAACTCGGCGAGTAGGATGAAGGACTTGAACATCAGTTTGGAAGGAGAACTCGTCGAGTCAACGCCTAACTCGACGAGTAGAAACAGAATCCAGGTCAGTCGATTGGACAGGGACTCGGCGAGTTGGCGAGCCAACTCGGCGAGTCGGGTCAAATGAAAGTTGACTCTGACTTTGACTTAGGGCATGATCAGGGGTAAAATGGTCATTTTACCCAAAGGACAGTTAGCAGTATTTGACTAAGTGTTTGGTGGGAATTACAGCCGGAGGATTTCCGGAGCAGTAGCAGCAGACACACAGACTATTCCCACACAGATCAGCAGCTACTACGAGGTGAGTTACCTTCCAGTAGCGGTGGGTCTAAGGCCACAATGCCGGCCCACCGGTAGGAGATGTGTGATTAGATGATTGTCTTTGTGATATTCATCTAGGGTTGCTACTACCTGTGTTATGTTTATGTGTTAGTGACAGTAGGGGGAGATAGTCCCCCAGAATACCGGTCGATAGGGCCGAAGGGGCGGTCATGCCCAGCCATGCTAGATAGACTATGTGATATATGTGTTATGTGGTAGTAGTAGGGGTGAAATAGTCCCCAGTATCCGGTCGAGAGGACCGAAGGGGAGCCAGCACCCAGATATGCTAGGCAGTATCCGGTCGAGAGGACCGAAGGGGAGGCCAGCACCCAGATATGCTAGGCAGTATCCGGTCGAGAGGACCGAAGGGGTAGGTCGGGCACCCAGATATGCCTGACAATTTATGTATGTTATGTGATTATATGGTATGTGGTACAATGGGGGAACTCACTAAGCTTTGTGCTTACAGTTTACAGTTTTGGTTTCAGGTACCTCTTCATCGAAGGGGAAGGAGCTGGCGCGGTAGCGCACATCATGCACACACACTGGTTTCCGCATCATTAGATTTCTTGGGATTTATACTCTGATATTTTGATTGGTTGTATGATTTGGCTTTTAGACATGGTTTACGTTGTGATGTGGTTTGATCAAACAATGTTTTTAATTATTAACGTTTTCTAAAGTAATGTTTTAAAAACGAAATTTTTGGACGTGAAAATTGGGTCGTTACAAGTTGGTATCAGAGCCCTGGTTTGAGGGATTCGGACACACCTTCGGGGGTGTTTGAACTCAAATCGAGGGATTAAAAGATTTTGGAAAGAGAAAATGTTTTCTAAAAGGTTAAGTAAAGGGTTTTAAGAAAGAACAATGTGTGTGATGTGCGCGACCGGCCGAGCTCAAGTAAGTATTCCCCAATGTACCCATACAAGTTTATTTATGTTTATCAGTTTCTGTAGAACAGCATGCTAGAATAGGACTAAGGATCTAGGAGTGATGCCTTATGTGCCTGCTTTATGTGCTTCAGTATATGAAAGAGTTGCATGCTAGAGTTGAGTAGACAGCAGTAGGGTAGCCTGTTTAGGTTATTCCTGATAGTACGAGTTTAGCATTGTATGCTAGTTCAGTTCTCTCTACGAGGATAGAGTTGCTTGAGATTGTTTTTCTTATGTCCAAATGTTGTTTGCTTTGTGCTATGTGGGCTTTGAAGTGATGGGAGTTAACTGTTAGGTGAATACGTTAAAGTCACATGTGATCAGGGTTGAATAATCTCAGAGTGTTGGATTTGACTCTATTGCGTAGCTCTTGTTTGAGTCCTAACCGTTGTAGAGATGAGTCCCTTACTCGAAGGATTATCCGAGCCTCATCACATGTGATTGTATTCAGGTAATAGTTAATTGGCATCACCAAGAGGCCTTCAGCAGCTGAGGACTGGGTTGGGTGGAGTCAGAGGTTTCCTAGGGTAAGCCTAGGATAAAGAGTAGCAGTGATCAGCGGTAGGGGAAGGGACCTGGTTGAGTCGAGGCGGTCCTTGGGGAAGGTACGGATAGATGTGGAAGGTAGTATGGGCCCGTACTACTGAAAGCAGAGGATCCGTACCCGAACCGAGGAAGGCTAAGATAAGACCAGGGAACTTGTAGTGGGTGGGATCCCTCCAGGGGTATCAGTATCGCTAACAGTTGTTATTTCTTTGTATTTCAGAATGGTGGTACTACGCCCGAGGCCAGCAGTTGGCAGTTCAGGAGAGGGATCGGGTTCGGGATCAGGTTCCGAGCCAGTAGATGAGAGGCTGCGCGAGTTCATCGCGTCGGAGATCACCAGAGGTATCCTTGAGTCGACCCCCATTATCTTCGGGTCGATCAAGAAGGGGATATTGGAGATGATGGAGGATCGCCTCCAGGCATTCAGGAGTGACATGGCATCTGGCCAGTCGGGATCTCGCACACTGTCCTTCAAGGACTTTCGGGGCAGTGGTGCACCGGACTTTCATGGGGCGAAGGACCCCATAGCTGCCAGACGATGGATTGCAGACATTGAGTCTGCACAGTTGACTAGTTTCCGTCGAAAGATGTGGGTTTTGAATTCATGAAGTCGTTATAGGATCACTCCTTCTGATGCCCTTGACTACCTTCATGATTTTGGGAATGAATGCCACTCTCGGAACCACCAGAACCACCAGGATTTATCTTTGACAAATCGGCAATCACAGCTGTAGTAACAGCTGTTTGGAACATAGCGGGATTGAACTGAGGAGGTGGTGGTGGTGTTGGATTCGTCGAGGAATTGTTGCTCTTTTTGTTGGGTCTTTTCTTTGGAGGCATGTTGTACTATATCAGGAAGAAGAAGTTGGTACGTCTCTTGGACATTCGAGTTAACAGATATGAAACAAGGTATATCTCTATATGATAGATAAAGTGATATATGGTAAAGGGGTTACTAAAGCAAGTAGACTATCACTAAGAAAGAATGAGAAGCAACATTTGGAATGAATCTCTATAATGTATTCGGCTCTCACTAAAATACTCCTATAGTATTTTATGTTGAATGCTTTGTTCTATTGATATCTCGTGGTAGGAATACTTGGTAAGTTTTAGGCTTGTTGCAACACCATAGTCACTCCCAAGCTCATGTTGGTCATGTCTCAAATGAATATATATGATCAAGCTATATTGACCCTAGACATGATTACATAACTGCCCAGGTTTAACCGTAGTATCCAACATCCGAATACTTTTGTTTTGTTCTAGTAATGATATTGTTTTTGGTATGTAGATATACTTGTATACTTTTTGTAAAAATACTAATATTTTAAAAGTATACTTTCAGTTCAGAGTGCTTCCGCCCCTTAGTGTTTATAGTTGTATACCATGTAAGGTTCGGTATACTTAGATCACTATAAACAATAGCTCTGATACCAATCTGTCACCCCGCGAACCATCAGAAATAATGGCGGAAGAGTCAGGGGCAGGCGATGTCATGCGTAGTATCACAACAATCATATCATAGCAATCAAAGTAAACACAACCATTACATTACAATAAGAATATTTACATTTGTTTGAAAACATATTTTGTGTACATCAAAAGTAACAAAAGATAAAGACGAGACTCCAAAATGCTCCATCTTCTCCAAAAGTTGGCGAAGGTACCTATCTATTGTTGCCTTGAGTATACAAGCGGTTTTGAAAACATATCAGCATAAATTTGTACAACTAATTTCTTTTCATTATAAGTAAAATGTCATTTGTAGAGAAAACATTTGTTATCAAATTTTGAAATATGTATGCATGCTTTCCAAGAAAATCCAATATTTTCTAAGATGTTTGTTAATTACTATATGAAAAGTATGTTCCGTTTGAAAACCCTGGCTACCACCAGTATTTTCTATTTGGAAACCCTGACTACCACCATTATGAATAGTAGTTCTATTACTCAAATAAAACCAAGAGTTGGATCCCTAGAATACCCTCTAGTAAGTACATAGGTAGTTTTATTAATTAAATAAAACTATTAAAGAAAGAAATCCCATAAACAAGGTTAGTTGATACTATTGTGAGTTCGTATAACCATGCTAATTTTACTGATCACCTCTTTGATGTTTCTTCAAGCGTCGTACAATTACAAAATTTGTCACCCCAGGCGTGCCCACCTAACTGTAGCTAACAATTCAGGTGTG